CCTTAATGGGTTAAGTAAGAACAATAAACCCTAATTGTCATTTTATGTGAAAACCCTAATTTTGCTTGGGCCTTGAGTTGGGCCTTTCTATTAGGCTTTGGTGACTGGGCTATTGATGGGATATCCAAGAACAAGTATATGGACTAGAATATTTTGATGGGCTTTAGGGTAAGGCCCATGTGAGGGGCTTGGGCCCAATTTGGAAAATTGGGCCATAGATGGGCCATAATTGGGCCTTGATGATTATGAGATATTGGACCATCGGAATGCCAAGTGTTGGGACTAGAATAAATGGTTGGGCCTTAGGGTAAGACCACGTAAAGGTTTGGGCCAAATTTGGAAATTTGGGCCATATGTTGGGCTTTGGTTCATTGTTTGACTTTTTGGCCTTTGGATTGGGCCTTGGGCTTGAATCAAGCTAAGTTAGGGGGTAAAGTAGTCTTTTACCCCAAGCATGGACTTATGGTTATGTGTTGGAACCCAAATATTAATTGGGTGTCATTTTGATGTTGATAGCTCGGGAATCTGTCATCCAACAGCTAGAGTTTTGTCCGCGAGACTTCAGCAGTGTGAGGTAAGTTCCCTTCCAGTAAAAGTGGGTCTAAGGCACCAATGCTGGCCCACTGGTAGGAGTATAGAGTAGAGATGATTGTCTTCGTGATAATTGTCTAGTTTGCCACTATATTATGTGATTTATATGTTATATGCCATGTTATATGTGACAGGGGTAGGTTGGGCACCCGGTATGCCAAACATGGGTAGATTGAGCACCCAGGTATGCTCAGGAGGGTAGGTCGGGCACCCAGATATGTCTGACAGTATGTGATTATGTGGTATGATGGGGCAACTCACTAAGGTTCATGCTTACGGTTTTCAGTTTTGGTTTCAGGTACTTCTTCTTCAAGAAGAAAGTAGCTGGCATGATCGCAACGCATCACACTATGATTTTCGCATTATGAGATCTTTGGGAGTTGTGCTCTGATAATACTTTTCTATGACATGTTTTAGTTATTTGAAATACTGGTTTTTGATTATGAAATGAGTTAACACTATGGATGTTTCAGACTATTGGTTTTATACTTCTTAATTAAAAATGAAATATTTGGTCTTGAATTTTGGGATGTTACATGCAATATTCATGAGTACTTAAAATGAAATATTTGGTCTTGAATTTTGGGATGTTACATGCAATATTCATGAGTACTTAGAAAAATGGAGATTTTGAGTATTGGATAAAACATTAAAACCTACGTTCATAGAATTACTTCATCGATTCTATCACGAGTAATTCTGAGACAATAATATCCTCTATTCTTAAAATGGAGATATATGAGTTGTAATTTACAAGACAGTTGTACATTGGTATTGCAAAAACGCATCAGTAACATTATGTTATAAAACATCGTGTCATGTATGATTTAGTGAGTAAAGGATACTAGAATATAAGTCAAAGTTTATTCGTTCTTTTTTCCCTAAAGGGAAAAGTGATATCTTTGGGTCCCTCTGTGATTTGTTGTTAACTTATAGTGTTGGGCCGAGTTAGGACTAAATTGATGTGTTCAATTAGTAAGTATTATGAGGTCATAACAAATCAGGAAACCGGGAAACAAAATGTTGGACAAGAGATTGATTATAATCCATGTCGCATTTCCATACGATATCTTGTAGAACGAAGGAATATTTGATCACTTATCTTAGGAACGATGTTTGATCAGATCAGAGAATGGAGTTGCTTTGGGAATCACCCTTTCCTGTTTGATTTAGAAGTTATACTTGCAATTGTAGTTATAAGGTTATCCAAGTGGGAGACTGTTGGATCAGGTGTCTAATCCACTAACTAAATTGGTATATACTTGAATTATTAGCAAAGTTCTTTTGGGTTGTCCTCAAAACTAGCAATTGAATAGTATGACTTTTAGAGAGAAAAAGACGGATTTATTGATTTATTATATGTTTAATAAATAGCAATAAATGATTTATTAATATATTATGAGAATAATATATTAATTAGAAATATTATTATTAATTAAGAATTATTCAGAAATTAATTATAATTAATTTTGGGATTATTGGATTAATTAAAAGTATAAGGACATAAGTTGTAATTGTTCAATAGTTAAACAAAAGGGATTTCAGAACCTTCCACAAGTGGTGGACGATTTTGAGTATATATTCTAGGGTTTCTAGAATATCCCTTAAAGATAATTAGGAGATGGGATAATTATCTAATTTGAAATAATAATATTATATTCAAATTAGGGTTTCCAGGGTTTCCTAGTGCAACTATAAATAGGGCCTTAACCCGTCATATTTTCGGCCACTCCCCCTCTTAAGAGAATAGCCGAAAATCATCCCCTCTCCTCTATTCTCAAGTTTTCTTAGTTGTTAAAGCTTATGTGTGAACAATCAGAGGCACAAGATTTCTGGTGCTTGCTTCCAAGATCTTTTGAAGAAGGTTTTTCATTGATTATTTACATGAATAATCAAGACGTATCTAAACCCTAACTCTTTTATGATTTTCTGTAATCCTAGGGTTTCTATAGGGTTCTTTGATGTTCATAGATTATAGCATTCAGTAGTGAAAATATAGATCAAATTAGATTGTATGTGAGCTTAAGAGTTAAGTTATTTTCCGTCACATGTATTTGGTAACCTATAAAACCTATCACCAACATCCCTCCTACAGATTTAGAATATGAAAAGCTCGATGACATGGAAATTTATGGTCGTTTGGATTAATTTCTCAATCCCTCATCACCGTTGCATAACATTACGGAAGGTTTGGCTGAACCTTAAAGCCATATTCTGTGAAAATAAAGATTATGCTACCGTTCAATTGGAAAGCGAACTCTGAAATATCACAATTGGGATCTCTCGGTTCTCAATTACTGCACCATGGTCAAAGAACTTGCTGATTTGCTTGAAGGATTCGATGAAAAAGTCAAAGAAAAACGTGTGGTGATTCACATAATCAATGGACTTTCGAGCAAATATGTCGCGAATCTCAACCGATTGTATCACCACCCCATCGCATGCCCATCACACTTCTTCACCAGGCGCTTCCGCATCAATTCGTGGGTGTGGCGAAAATTCGCACTGACGTAATGGTCGTCTGCGTAGTCACACCTTCAACTGCAGCAGTCGGTGTCGTCAGCAATCTTATACGGCCATCGAAACTCCTTCTGCTAACTAGCAATTTGGTTGGGTTTATTTCCCACCACCAACGCCCTCATAATTCCAACAATGGGCCACTACTTCATCCTATACAACGACTTCCTGGGCGGCTCCTTGTCAACATCAACATCACAAGCCATCGTAGGGCAATCCCACTTCTCCCAACGATAGACTCTATGGCATCGGGCCCACATCGCCGAATTCCAGCCACAACCCAATCCATATGTGTATCATTAGTCTAGCACATCTGATCAATATTAATGTAAACATGAATTAAGTTTGATTACTGACCATGTTGTCTCACTTCCTTCAATAATTACAGCTCATTTTTCATTATTTATTCCCTATACTCCGAGTGAATCTCTCATATGAGAGGCCATGGGTTCAAGTCTTGGTGAAGACATCGATGGTTATTTAGAAATGGTTAGTTAGTTTGCCGTTTAAAAAAAAAAAAAAAAAAAAAAAAAAAAAAAAAAAAAAAAAAAAAACTGCCTTAGTTAATATTAGAACACGAATGACATTAAATTGTTTCTTTCATTGCATGATCTAAGTTTGGATTTGCGGAATTAATTTAAATATAATTCTCTAATAAAAGTCACAAGTGGCATTGCATAAAAATATATATATATATACCCAACGCACAAGTGATAACATGAATAAATAACCTTTGGTTGATGCTAGAGTTGGGAGACATTCTAACAAGAGGACACATTAGCTGCTCGCATTGTCGAAGAAAAAGTCTTTCGGTAAAGGCCAAAGGGTAGATTCATGTGCTATATCCACAGCTCATTTCTCATAATTCTTTGTCATACTACATTTTTTATCTACATTTCTCAATAGGAGACATTAACTTGTTTCATTGAATGTATGATCTTGGTTTTAATTAATTTGCAGAATTATAAAATAAAATGGCCTGACACAGTTATATTTATATATAAACACAATGCACGACTGATTACTGCTGAGAATAAGCACTTAATTTCTAACCATAGGTAGGGCATTCATATATTGCATCGCCTGTGAAGGAGCCATAGATGAAGCTCCTTCCACCACTTTAACATATGTTACTTCACTCATACCATCCCTCACTCTTTTCAAATTCCCTTCACAACTTTCTTTCTTCAAGTGCCCACCCAACCCTATTTTCAGGATTTGTAATTGAAGAGAGCACATGACCGTACGATTTCACCCCAACCTTATCCTTCCTTAACTCCGATATCATCCCATGTGACGCTTTGAATCTACAATCAATACTTCCTTGAACACCATTATTCAACTGGAATTTCCGAATTCCTCCATGATGCCTAATTGATAAACCTCCTCTTGGGACTATTTCCGCTGTTTGGCAATCACTCCTTCGGCAATTAAAACTTCCAATAATCCCTCCCCCACTTGTTATAATATGGAGTCCACACCATCACTGGTGAAAGAAAGTTCAGCTCTGTCAAATACCCCATTGGACCACGGATCAGAAACAGCCTAACGGCCAATTAAACGTAGAGTGTTTTTAACCGTTACATATCTTTCCACAAACCCGCCATATTTGAAGAAGATTAGTATATTGAAATGTTTTCATAATACGAAAATGAAACTTGAGGCGTGATTCGAGATATGTCTAAGGATACAAAAAGTTATTAAATACTTATTAATCAACTCCAGTATGCTGTCTAATAATCTAAATGATACAAAAAGTAAATAGTTAGTAATCACCTTAAAAATGTTGTTTTTCGTTTATAACTTTACACAAAAATTATTTCAATGCTTAATAAAACTATAATCAATAAAAATTTATTTACATCATTACATTATGCATTGTTGACTTGTTGCTAACAGCTGAGGATATTTAGAATTGACACTCTAGTTTTGATCAAGTATCTGCAAAGGCATTCTAACTGGTCACAGATATCTTGGAGGCTAAATTCCATATCTGCTAAGCCTACTTTTACATTCTCTACAACTGAGCTGTCTAATTTGGTTTTCTTGTAGATCATTGAGGCATGTAATTCATCATCCACCTTCTTCAGTTCACTTTCTTCAAGAGTCTCAGAACAATGGACACGCTTGCTGCCTTTCATTTTGGAGACCAAAGACCAGCCTTTTGGCCTTGACTGTGTGTTTGATCCAAGAATACAGTTCAACAAGGACTCAAACACTGCCAAAGTGTTTAATCTCATTTCTTCCAATATATTGATGTTTGCATCTGTTCTGTGGCTTTCCTTGACTGAAGAAGCCCATTGCTTCTGCAAACTTGACAATGTTTTACAAACAACCTTCTTCACTTTTCTCCGGTGGGATAGATAACCCTCGATTGAAGAAGTTAACCCGTGATTATTACCTCTTTTTCGGCGAATAACCGATTGGAGTTCTTTGGCACAATCCATGGATATGGAAAAGGCATCCTTGGTGGTGCTACACAGATCCAAAAGCCCAACGAGTTCATCTAAAAACTTGTTCAGTTGTTCTTTGTAGCATCCTTGGGCTAAAGATTGTTGAGTGGATGGCAATATAAGGAATGGCTGAATAGATTCATACATATCATTCAGGCATTTAAGTTTATTGCCTATAAATGATGATGATGATGAACAAAAGTTGGTGGCTTCTTGAGAATCTTCAAATCTATAGAACTTATTGAATATGGATTGTTGGTCTGATGAAGAAGGTAAGCTTTTGGATCTGGCATGGTAATGCGGTTTAGTATTTGAAGAAATAGTAGCCATCTGTTTGTAAGATGTAGAAGCTAGAGAATTTGATTTATTGTTTGTTGTCTTTCTTGTAGCTTGGTATATATATATAGTTGGAGTTTTTGCGGTCCATCATAATGTGAACCTGAATTAAGTTTAATTGACCACCTACTTCTATGTATTGTCTCCCTTCTTTCCATATCCACAGCTCATTTCCAATATTCTTTGTCCTACCACAATGTTCACATTCTTCAATATATATATTATGACACGAAACTTGCCTCTTTCAATGCAGGATCTGGGTTGTGATTTGTTGAATTTAACTAATTTTACAAATACTCTGGCAGCATCTGGATTATTTATTTATTTTATCTATAACACAACGCACGAATGATAACATAAATAAATGAATCTGGTGAATGGTTGCTTCCAAATTGGAGACATGCATGGTAACCCGAGGACACTAAGTAATAATGTAAAGATTGGTTGACAAATAATCTATATCTGCCAAGATCCTACTTTGGTGGTGAAACCTCATTTTAAGGTGTTGCATCACTTTCATGAAAGACAAAAAAATAACATTAGCTGGTTTTTAGGCTGAAGAAAACGCTTTGGAGTATTTGGGATATTTTTAGGCAGTTTAATCTTCCTTTTGACCACAATCAGATTTATATTTTAGGTAAAATTGTAAATAAATCTTGATATACAATTGTAACTCTAAGTAGAAAGCGTGTGTTTCACGGCTACCGTTGTTTAGTGATTAGGGTTTAGGCCCAAGCCCTTTAAGATTTAGATTAGATATTTTATGTATCCCTTTTTATATGAATGAAGCATTTTATTATATAACATTGTATCAGAGATCTAGGTTAAAATCCTATTGTTGACCACAACCCGCTACCGCCGCCCTCCACCTCCGACGACATTTTCTCATAATCGTCGGAGGTACCTTCATTATGCTTCATATTCCCTGCGTTTGTTTTTTTTTTCTCCTCCTAAATAATAAAATTGCCACTGACACCAAACTAGAGCTCTTAAATCGGCTTCTTCTATTGCCTCGTTTGCTTATGTCTGCTCATCGGATGGCTCATGCCTCTAAACTTTCTGTCTTCTCCTTAACTTGCCTCTTTTTCATATCTATTTTCCAAGTCAGTTAGAATAGGCTCCGTCCGCCACAGCTCGAACTCTCTTTTTTTCTCGCTGCTTTTCTCTGGACTTCTCTACCGCCGACTCGATGATCGTCGCCGCCGCCGCTCCTCTCTTCTTTTACAAAGGAACCGCCGCTGGCCGTCGCTTCTTCTTTCTCCTTCTCCAATGAGCGGTTGTTGTTATCCGTCATCGTTAGAGCTCTGCCACCGTCGCTGCCGCTGTCTTCATTTATGTTATGTTTTATGTTTTTGTTTTTCCAGTTTAATCGTCCTCTCCCGATCAAACTGCGGAGGGATGTTGGTGATTAGGGTTAAGGCCAAACTCTTTAGTATTTAGATTAGGTATTTTATGTATCCCTATTTATATGATGTTTAAGATCACTAATTATCAATGAAGCATTCTATTATAAAAGAGTAATCTGATGGATCTGACACGACTATGGGGTTTTATGTTTGAAGAAATAGAAGCCATCTGTTTCTATGAAATAAAATCTGAGAATACGATTTCAGTTTATTATCTTTCCTCTTATTACAAACATGGTATAAATAGTTGGAGTTTGGTGTTCAATATTAATGTGATCATGAACTAAGTTTGATTATGTGGCCACGTATGCATTCTCCCTTCCTTCCATAATTACAACTCATTTCATTATTCTATTCCCTATACTCCAGCATTCACATGCCTTAATTAATTGCAACACGAGTGACATTAAATTGTTTCTTTCATTGCAAGATCTGAGTTTTGATTTGCCAAATTAATCTAAATATAATACTCTGATACAAATCACAAGTGGCATTGCATTGTATCATCCTAAATATTTATATATACCCAATGCACGAGTGTTATTACATGAATACATGACCTTTGGTGGATGGTAGAGTTGGGATTTGGGACACATGGTAACCTGGGGACACTCTGTATAGATTTTTGTAAGAGAATCTAGATCTGCCTTGATTCATGTTTCGTGCTGACACCTAACTTAAGGTGTACATCATTTTCAACGAAAAAAAAATATCATTAAGCTGTTTTATGGGGCGAAGAAATAGTCTTGGAGTAAAGGGTATATTTATGGCATCAAGATGGGCTCCCTCCACCACTTGACACAGCAATCAGAAGCATGGTCGCACTACCCCTGCTAATCTTCCATTCGTCTACATTTTTCATTATTCATGTGCCATATCTACAGCTCATTTCTCATTATTCTATGTCCTGTAACGGTATCTACATTTCTCAGGAGACAAGACATTAAGTTGTTTCATTGGATGTATGATCTAGCCGTCTAGGTTTTAAGTAATTTGCTGAATTATAAAATAAAGTAGCCTGTCACAAGTGGTATCTGCATTATGCAATTATATGAATATAAGCATCGCATGAGTGATTACAAAATATATGACATTCGGTGAATAACGTTATAATTAACCCTAGTACTTCTGGGTTGGAGACAAGGTAACCTGTGGACATCTTGTGAATGATTGTTTAACAGAATCTAGATCCGCCAACATCCAAGTTTTATTCTGAAACCTCTAAATATTTAAGGTGTTGCAACACATTCAAGGAAAAAAATAATTGTTGTTTGGAGTAAATGGTAGACACTAGACAGTGATTTTTATCCGACAACCTGTGCCTCAATCCTTCAGAGCATTCCGCGGATAAGTCTATGAATGCCGGGTTGCCTCTCCACCCATCAGGCTCTCTTAATTCATTCAATCCCATGTTAATTTTGTGGACTCAGGTGAGTCCGATTCCTGATTTTGAAACCAGGCTGGACTGGTTTCAAAACCAAATCGTATCCTAGTCGACTTTATTTGGGGCAAAATTGGGCAGAATAATTCGAAAATGTCAAACTGGGTTCAAACCGAAATAGGTAAAACCGGTTTAAATCTCTGTATTTTTCATATAGTATTAGTTTTATTTTAAGCATTACTAAAATGTAAATGGTAATACATGTGACATTATGACTCTTAAAAGTAATTAAAAAAAAAGGCATATCTACAACGGTCTTCATCTTCATCGTTATTTTCTCTTTAGAAATGAAATAAATAAATCAGGTAAATAAATCATAAATCCAATTTTACTCTATTTTTTTACCACAAAAGTATATTTCATAGTATATTATGTTCTTGTAACTTATATACACGGGCGGAACACGAGTACCCAAACTAGAGGGGCCGGAACCAAACATCAAAAAAATACATATAAATAAGTTTAATTTCTTTCAAAGCAATGCTATCATCCAAAATACTTATTTAAACTTTATAAACATTCGTTATAAAACTATCTTTCTGTCTAACACAAACCAACCTAACACTTTATTTTTTTTAAAAATGTATAACATCTTTCATCCATATACGCAACTCAATCTTTTCAAAATTTACTGGTTTACTAGCAACCAAATTAATCTGATGTTCTATTAACTACTCCCATATTATAATTATTAAACTTAAACCAATTTAATAATTACATCATAAATATATAATAAATGTTGCTATTAATAAAAAAAACAATTAATAAATATATTTAATAAATAAATTTATAAACCATAACATGATATAATTAGTAAATTTAAAGTAATAGATTTAAAGTAATAAAACAATAATAAATCATAAATATTCTTGAATAGGATTATAAGGAATTGACAACACACAGCTTATCACATCTACTTTATCATTCACAATACAAATTGGGTTATGGTAATATCTAGTTTATCAGTCAACGATATGGGTAATATCCAATAGGCCTCCTTTACTCATAATCACATATTATCACAGTTACAATACGAATAATGGTAAGAGAGCGAAGGCGAGATAGTAAAGAAAGGTAAAATAATAGGAGTGAGAGCTCGAGATGCAAAACCTGGAGACGCCGTTCAGCCTGGCCGGATCCACTTCTAATTAGTCGACGGGGAGCGGCGGTTTCCCGCAGTGGCCGGTGTGACTTCTGAGGCGGTTAGGGTTCTTAGTTTTTGATTATTAATTTTTTGAAATTTGTTTTCTCAACTCTTCAGGGTTTTTATGAAATTTGTATTTTCTCTTAGATTAATGTTAAAACAAAGTGCAATGGTCTCTTAGAATTTGTTAGGATTTGGTTTTTCGATTTGGATTACTTATTTTCAGTGGATTTGTTTTGGATCAAACGCTTTATATTTATCTATTTAATGTATGATATTCTAACTTTCGTTGTCAACGTTTCCATTTTTGCCAAACAAACCAAAATCATATGTTTCGTTTAAACACATAGTAAATAGAAGGCTAAAAACTTGGGGGGGTCATGGCCTCCCCTGGCTCCTTAAAGGTTTCGCCACTCCTTGTATAAATTGTTAAACACATCCTTCTATTAATTGTTTTTTAACAAACATACTTTATCTTTTTTAAATATAATAATATATGTTATCATATTTTGTAAAAATATTTCAATTATAAGTTTTTATAATATATGTTACCGTATTTCAATTTTGCATATGTATTTAATTTTTATATGAATTTGATACATAAAGATTAAACTTTATATTTATTATTAATTAATATAATTAAAATAAAATAGGATTCTAAATCCTACATTTTAAATTATAATTAGTAGATAAAAATAAGCTAGAAATGCATTAATATAAATTAAAAAGATGAACTAAAACTGACAACCGAAGAGTTGAGAAAACAAATTCATGTCCCTTTCTATTTAGCGAGGGATTAGAAAGGGATTAGCGGTAGAATCTGAGACAGAAGCAAACCCTAGATAATCACTCGGTAAAAATTTGTCGCTGATTTTTCATTTCCCTCCCATTTATTTCATTAGACTTTTTATTTCCCTCCTACTTATTTCATTCCCACCCAATCCTCCCTCCTAAATCGACATCCTAATTTATCCTCCCAAATCGATTCAATACCTTGCTTGAT